ATTCGCCAGAATTCTGAGAATGAATTTTTCCAGGATAAACACATTAAAAAATAAACGCACCAAATCAGAATTGATGTTTAAAAAAATATCGACTTAAATAAATATCGGCAAATAAATATATCTAAAAATTATCGTATTTCTTGTTAATATTTATAAAAAAAAATCTCTGATTTTACTTTCAATCGAAAAATTAACATTCGATGTTATTATATATTATATGTTATTATATAACCATTTTTTCTTTCAACATTGCTATGTGTATACAAAAATAGATTGGAAGATCTATCTAACAATAAGAGTAGAATGTGCTCTTTTATCAAACTACAAAAGATTAACGTTTTATTTTACCAAGTCGAAAAGACGAGAGCTCCGACACGCGAAAGTTCCGAGTCTCAGACGTGCGTTAACTGTTTCATCTTTACGTGCCATTCGAGGAACGATCGCGTTCATCGCTAAAACGTTTGTCAGCGCTGAAGTACTGAAGCCTAACAATGGCACCGCAAGCTCTCTGTGTTCGATGTCTTGATTTCCGTCAGTGGCTTCGGTAAATCTTTCCGATCCTTCCGACGGAATTGCATTGCTACAGCTTCGCGCGGATTTTAAGTGTTTCTCGCTTCTGCTTTCGACAGCAACAACGGCGATGTCTGTCGCGTGCGCGCGATCGATTTTATCGAGGTAAAAGTGCGGAAAAGGGAACTCGGACTTTGCGTTCGACGCTTCATCGATACGGATTTAATTTTCGTGAAAGCGGACGCGATCGGCGAGTATGCGAGCGATCCAAATAGCCTGTGGAGCTGACTACAGGCAGAAGGCAGAATATGAGGATCTACGGCCGGGATACGTGACCGGATACGACAACTCGAAGATAGAAAAATGATCTATTGGGCAAGTTCGTTGGAGGAGATGCCGATAGGAAGATGGATGGCGCGGTAATGCTGTTTGCAGAGAGTTCCAATTTCTGTCGGATAATATAATTCCCAATTTCGCAACGTTGCTCTTGCGCGCTAGTAACACGGCTCCCTGGATTAATGGCACGCGGAGAAATGCGTATTGGCGACATGACAGATCGGGATATGATCGATGAATGTCGCTAACGAGTCGGGAGAGCAATGTACTTTCGTATGAAACATATTATGTACGTTGTCAATTTATAAATTTTCAACGCGTCCATATCTTCGTTTATTATTATTAAATCTGTGATTCAAACGCGACATTCTATACTTTTGTAATTTTGCTATAAAACTTGTAGTACATTGTGCATTCTGTTCGATCGCATAAGATAATTTATGCTAATTTATAATAAAAATTTCTCTTAAATCATATGTAATTTTAAAATATTTGAATATATTTATAAGTAATCTCTATTTGGAATCTTTCAAAAGAATAGATTCAGTCCAATTAATATAATAAGTAAAAAGCTGAGTTATTAAAATAATTAAAATAGTTTATACAGTATCCTATGATTTCACATGTATAAATTATTAAATTGGAATTAATATTGTGCAAGGATGCGTAACTCTGATACGAACTGCAAACAAAGCATAAAAAACTGTGTGCTTTTAAGACCGTAACGTAAGACTGATAAGAATTGTTATCTACGTGTCTAGATATAATGTGATAATGCGACAAATGTGCTACGTAGAACACTATTCACGCTGCTCGAAGGCAATAAATATTTACGTAATTCACAGTGAGTATACTGTACTGGATACCCTAATCGCCCGCCAAGGCCAAACGGATAGAAATCGTTCCTGTCGACAAGTAGAAATTAATTTCTATGTGCTCTCAGCGCGGTAAAGCATTCGAATCTAGATAAAGGGACCCTCGTAGACCTTTAAGGTCCGCAGCGACCCTTTTGTTAAACGAATTCCTCCCTAGAGCCGCACATATCACTTAAACCCTACAATTGTCAAGGAATCTAGTATGCCGTTAGTGCGCTCTCTTGTAAACTTGTGTAACAATTTAACTTACAATTGTCTCACACTCAATTTAGAGGGAAAACGCAACATGTATTACTAATCAAAGTAAAATTATTATCCCGTCATATTGCGCATCGTTTATTAAAATAAATGATGCAACTAAACTGCTCATTGTGGTAATACATCGCAGATAACGCCATAAATAATATGCGTCATACGGGAACATCGGTCCATATTTACATGGCGTAAAATTTAAATAAACATCGTATGTCATACGCACATCGATGTATCATTTATTTCATGTCACCGGCATTACACGTGACAATAAGTTAGATTTTCCATTTAGCGATGCTGTTTTATGAGATTTATTGGCAACGCGTTAGATAATTATATAACAAAAAAAAATTATCTCTGTAAAATTCCATTGTACTCGTGCAATTCAATAATTCGTTTTTAATTTTTCATAACATTTTGATGACATAGAGAAATTAAACTTTGTAAAAATTAATGAAATATATTGCTGATTTGACAAAACCTGGATAAAGGTATTTAGTTATTGGCGTTGGGTAATATTTTAATATAAATCTCCATTTTTTTTATTTATGTTATACAGAACCAGCTACGTTTCATGAATTATTTACGAACGTTTTTTCCCCTAAAACGATATGTCTGATAAATGGACGTCTTCAATCTTTTTCCAAAGATCCCTTGTAATCGATACCATTTACCGAATGCTAAACAAGTGGTTGATTGAAAATGAATTTTCTTCACTTCGTGCAATGAGATTTTTCAATTTCATAGATCATTCAGGCGCATTACGTTGGAATTTTTAGTAAGAGCTCCAAGCGAGTTCACCTGAAGTTCCGAAACGAGGAATTCTGCTCCTCGAATTACGCGCGTTTTACATAAGATGGGTACATATTTCAGGGACATCCACTCCGCGGGGGGTAGATGAAGAAGACTCAGGAGCAGAGGTGAGAGGTGAAGGATGGGCGTAATGTCACGCCGAAGGCCGAGGGAGAAGATCTAGTCTCACATCGAGGAATGCCAGCGAGTTATTTTAGGCCTTCCTTCTCATTCTACCGAGGCACGTTTACGCGACGTAACGAAATAATGAAGAAGGGCGCCCTTTGCTGCCGTGACAACACCCCCGTTGACTTTCGACGACAAAAAAATACTCTCTGCGAATTCTCTCTCTCTCTCTCTCTCTCTTTTTTTTTTCGTCCTCTGTTCTTTTCTCTTTCATCTATTTTTTTCTCTCTCATTCTCTTTTATGATTCCTGAAAGAATACCGGAGCGCACGCTAAAGAGAAGACTTTACGATGATGAAGAGCGTCGTGGCATTTTCTGCGCATAAATACTTTTTCCATTAGGAGGAGGCATAGAGTAGGAACGTGAGCCCTTGTTCTAGAGAAGTTCGTCCTCTTTGTCCTCGTATATATAAACAGCTTTTTTAAAGCTGTGCTTATGAAAAAGTTACAGGTTATCCGCAATGACGTAAGCGGGTCACATTTTTGAGCGCTCTCCAGTTGAGAGCCGGCGAGATGTAATTAATAGAACCGGATCTCTAAGCTGTTTATTTTAAAGAAATCTTGTCTTTCTTAATCAAGATGTTCCCGAGGATTCTTGACTCGGCAGGAGAGAAGCGGCTTCAAAGCATAATGTTTCTTATATTATGCCTCTAATATTATGCGCTTCCTCCTTTCTTACGCTCGATTTTCCGTTACGAAGGAAGCCCACTTTGGATCGGGTACTCTCGCGGGACATTTTTCCCATTATGCCAACAAGTATCTCATTCTCAGCTTTCGTGAACAATAAAATTATGAAAAAAGGAAGCGGAGCACAAACGGCATGGGATAAGCGTTAAATTACATTTTCCAGTCGTTTCTCCGTTGCGGACTTCAAGACTGCGGGAAAGACAGAAGTTTAAAGTCTACGATTACTCAAAACGTTGGAGCGAGCGCGAAAGAATTTATTGATTTAATATACCAAAAACATCATTATTCTAACCTTTTGCAAATGACAATCTAATCAGTTATTAAACGAATTAAGATTTTCCATTCGCCTCACAGAGTCTCTACAGCCGTTATATCCAATTAATTGACAGATTTGGCGCAAGTTGGCGTATTTCGTATTTTGAAAGATTTAATCTGAACTTCACTCAAGCTGATTATAATTATGCAACATATTTATGTAAGAGTATGGTATGTATAGATCAATATCTTAGTCCTAAATTGAGCAGTGACGGAATACTTTCTCGTACGCAAACACAAGGTGCTAAGCAACAATTACTAGATACAAAAGCAATCTACACGATGCTATATGCGCTTGCGGTTTCGTTCTATAGTATTACTGCGGATAGAGCAAGAAACTCTAGTTACACACAGTTAATGTTAATCGGTGTTGCTGCAACCACCTCTTGAATATGTTAATTAACCCTAAAATGGTAACATGGAATCTTATACGATGTATGTAAACCGAGCAGGATAAACAAAACATTTTAACAGATTGCCGATGGGCTGTGAGATTTACTCATCCGACATAATAGAGAAATTCCTGTAGCCTGTTATCAGTGGGAAATGAGCAATCGCAACATGGGCGACCTACTTTCAAGTTAGTAATTATTCAGCAGCGTACGAGCAAACATCATTGTGTTTTGTTACTGTAATTAACAAATTTGCCACACTGCTATAAATTACTAAAATTCTTTTTCTACAAAATAATGATTTGCAACAATCAATATTTAGCAATTAAAAATACTTGTAGAAGAATTACAACGGATAAAAATAATGCAAAAATATATAAAATAACATAACAAGAGTGTGACATACAATATTCAATAAATTCAATTTTATATCATTATTTGTCGTGCAAAATTCAATGTTATTAATTCAGAGTTAAGTAATGAAATAACTATGTATGATAATAAAACATAACTTTTTCTAAATCTCAGAAATCTTTTTTACTCTAAAAATATAAAACTATATTTAATCTAAAATATAAAAAATATAAAAATTTTTTTTTATGATTTTTAAAAAAATAAATGCCGTTTGCAGCATAAAAATAACAAAAAAGACTCACGTGTTTTCTTTCTGGTCGCCGTTGGCCGAGTGCGATGGGGACGGCTGGGCCTGCTTGGAGTAGGGATGGTGATGCACTACGTTGTTGTTATTATTGTTGTTGTTATGCATGTGTACCTTGTTGGCGTTGCTGTCAGTGGGAGAGCCTGGCGAGATTTTACCCGCCAGAGCGTTCAGTGACTGTAACATTTTCATGGGAATTCTTTTGGCGACCGGTTGTCGGTGCCTTCGCTCAGTCTCGTTTATCCTTGAGGAAGACAGGATTATTGTACGCTTGCGGTTTGAAGGTGTCACCCCTCAAACTCTACCGTACGTGCGTGAACAGGTTACTCCGAAAGTCTCGGCCGTACGTATCGCGAATGACACAAGACGCTCTCGTAATGGTTCACGAACTACGTTCGAGGCGGCTCGAAATCTTAGCGCGAGTAGCACACACTCATCACGTGGATTAAGCACACCGACAACACGAAAGCGCGTGGCCGAAAGACTGGTCCTGTTGAAATCGCGACTCGTTCGAGCAGCACTTGGTAGAGAGCGATGCGATCGTTCGTTTCGTATACTTTAGAACGCCAGATGAATATTGAAGTATCTGCTAGAAGTCCCCGTTGCGACACAATCCAATTGTAGAACGGAAAACGAAACCCTGTGGACAAGTATCGAGTTGATAAGAATTTTATCATTATTCACAAAATGGATTATATGGATTGTATGATTATCAACGTGCGAGTCGTTAAATTTAATCTACGATTATGACTTTTTCGTTCACTTTTGACTTAAGATCCGCGCAAATTAATGAGATACGCGCAATGTTGCTGACATAAATGAATTATTATATTATAATAATTGTACAATAAGTAATTTGATATTCACTTATCGTACATACACACAAAATCTATTTTGTATATCTACTTTTATATCTCTTAATATTCTAATTTTCCAAACGCATTTATTTATGCATACTGTTCTCACGACTTTATGAAAGTATATTATATTGAAAAATAAAATTAAAATAATCACATTAACTTTTTCAGAAAAATTCCATAAAAAGAAAAAAAACTCTTTCAAAATTATAACGTTTACTATCTTTAATCTATTATTTATTTAAACTTAATTAAATTGAATTATTAATCTAAACAAAATTCATTATTTTACAATTGCATAAAGAAAATGGATTTGGTATACACATACGTTGAACATAAATATATAATAATTTATACCATTAACTTCAACATTAAATAAAAATATGTGTAAAAGTAAATGTACATTTAGAAATAAATATAAATCCAAATGTACACTTTTTGAGAGAAAAATTTACTTTTCTCTTTTTGTAATCATTATTAATAATTTTAATTTATTCAACGAGTAGACGCTATGCAATTGTTAACAATATTAACAATACTATAATAAAATAATAACGTCTATTTATCACTTGGCTATTTCTCGCAATAAGATTCTTGCGGTTTGTTGTCAGTTGCAAACTGCACATTCGGCATTGTAATTTAACCAAGCGGAACGTAAAATGCGGCGCAAGGACAAGGAAAATGCACAAAGACGAATGCCGAATTGGAAACGAGGGATGACACCGTGGAGGAAAACTGGCTGAGCAGGCGCGTGTGGGGCCCCTCTTACGAGAAACTGCTTTACAACGAGTCAATTAAAAGTTTAAGTTTAATTAGAAACTCGGCTCGTGTGCGCGCAAGTGGGAGAGAAGAGGTTGGTACGCCGCCCGTTCACCGCCCGGCTTACTTCCTTCTGCTCTCTTCCTATCTCTCACTTTCTCGCCTCCGTAGTCGCGTTTGCTTCGCCCTTCCCATCTGCGTAGCTCCCCGAGTTACCAGCACACGAGTTTTCCTTTGTTTCGCGCGCATCTCGTAACGGGTCAAGTCTTGAAAGCCCAGCGCGCGGAAGAACGAAGGCGAGAGAGAAATACGCGCGATGGGAAGAAACTGATGGAGCTCCAGCGGAACGATATACAGGGCAGATCCGTCGCCTGGGAATTCGAATTAGTTTCCGACTCGGCGCGAAGGAACATTTGCCGATTTTCTATAGCAAAACGAGTCTCTTTAGCTCCGGCAGAAGGCGCAAAGCGAAGAAGTTACGAAGAAATGAACAGAATATAAAATATTCAAATGTGTTTCGATGTGCTAAGTTACATGAGCTATATTTGATATGGTTAATGCGACAACTCTAATTATAAATTATATTTTCGATTCTGATAAAATTTGCTTTGAAATTTAACTTTAAAAGATAAAATGTTGCACCTCATTATTTATGTATATAAAAAAGCCAAAATTAAACAAGATACAGATGCATAGTTCATTGTCTTTTAATTCATCGATTTAAATGTTATTTCTGGTTACTTATTTGTGTTATTTGTCCCTTATTTATAGCTTTCCATGATTTGGAGAGAATATTACTAGATCAAATTTTGACCTTATTACATCAAGTTGTTTTAGATACCAACTTAACAAAAATTTAATCAAAATTGATTTTTAAGTTAGCAGAAAAAATTAAGCAGAAAAATAAGAGCAAAATGGTTAGTGCAAATTTATAACATTCTTAAATTTCGCATTTCTTTGAGAATATTCATCCGATATTAGTTATCAATTGTATGAGATTAAGAAAGAATTTACCGGCGATTATACGGAATAAAGCGGTCTTTGAGAGAGTCGGATGTTGTAATTCGAAGTGAATGTCCGTCGGTTTTACTAGACTCTCTGCTCTTCTAAAACCAAGCGAGAATTGAATAAGTACTTGCAAACCTGCCACTACGCAACGCAGAAGGAAGAAGAAGTAGAACCGACGCGACGGGTGTAAGAACTTCGCGGCGAAGGGATTTTGGCCTCCTATAGATTACATTTGGAGGTCCGTCGAGGGCAAAAAGACGAGGGTGTAGGAGTGGTTTGGGTGAAAAAGGCGAACGTAAAGTGTAGGAGCGAACTCGCGGCGAGCATGGGGCTATAATTACCGAAACTACAGCGGTTGTCAAATGTCAAAGAGGTCGCGCATAATTTAACACGTGAAGTGGAAGCTGTACAAAGCACAGGATGCAGCGGATGGGAAAAACAGAGAAAATAGAGGAGACGAGGTGTCGTTTGCGGCTTGGAAGAAGCGAGAGAAGAAAAGTGAAGAGAAAGAAGCTGGCGGGTAAAGAATGAAAGAAGAAGGAGGCAGAGAAATTGTATCTTGATATGCCCCCTAAGCCTTTTGTCCCGCACACGTTTTTGCCCCACTCCACTTCCCTGCTCAACTTTCCTCTCACCTTTTCTTCTCACTTTTTTTCCGCCCGCTTTCTCCAACACCCTCGATGTACACCGACGCTCTTTGTCGACGTCCACTTAACGCACTAAAGCGTCAAATTAAAAACTCGAGATACCCTGGAAACAGCGATTAGTCGCCGACGCGACAGTGATTGCCCGTTATCGTTCTCACACGTCGTTGTAATTTTACAGCGTGTTTTTCTCCCCTCTTACACCGAGCCCGATTTCTCGTACCTTGGATTCCCGTAATATCACCACCGGACATCCGATCCGGAAGGGAGACTCTCAAGATATCTCCTCGGAGTTACAGAATGACGCGCGATTCGCGATAACACTGCGACCAGAGCGGCGCGACGATCTTGTCGGCGGCACCTGAGCACTACGACTGACGACTCGACGAGCGTAGTTGCCGGCCATCGTATCTCTGGATAAGCCTTATCGGTACCGAAAGACCCCACCCTTCGTCCGTGGGTCGCATCCCTCGCGCGCCTTTCTTTTAGCAACACTCACGTATTTTTCTGCAACGTTGACGGCGATCGTCCGTACAAACTTCGCGTGCCGTATTTCTTTTTTTTTTATAACTATCCTGAATACACCTATGTCAAACACTGTCCGACATCAGGTACGTCGCTCGAATCACTGGCTTGTTTTGAATCGTCGGCGAAATCTGATCTCTAAAGTGGCACGTGATCGTTCATGCGCGATCCAGTCGCGTCATGACGAATTGGTGACGCTTTGAATAAAGGAATACGGTACGTCGTATTAAGGAGCGCGTTTCTCACGGAGTTCTCACGATGGCGATCATTTCTGTCTCACAATATCACTTGTGATCCGTGAAGGGTAAGAAGCCGCGCGTCGATTTTACGACGTCGTCGCAGGTTGATCGTCATCTGCAAAGAATGTTTACTTGTTAAAGATTTATTCCCATGTCTTAATCGAACGTTGTTGAAGTCGTCCGTGTTCAAAAATTGCAAAACTATTAGTTTCAACTTTTGCATCGAGATTATTAGAAGACATATTTTTATAATTAATGTGCACATTTTGTGTGGAACAATTTATTTTTTTTTCATCTAATAAAAAAATAAACAATTAAAAAAATTAATTTTTAAAAACAGATAGATAAATAAAAATCGTAACAATTCATTGAGAAGAAATAAAATAACAAGAAAAACAATTTTAACTTGATTAACACTTCCATACATAGTCGTACGTGTGTAAACATTCTCGAAGCGATAAGCGACCGCGCGTGTGGACCTAAAAGTGCCTAACATCGTGGGTTAAAAGCGAAGAAATGTTCGTCAATATTTTCTCATTACGAGACTGAGGCGATGAAGCAGACACCAAGCGACGTTCTCAGAGATTAGATAAGACTTGGAACGCTCCGCTGCAGTGACTTGCACACAACGACGCCGCTGCCCTCGAGACGCTATTGTCGAGCACGGCGGTGCAGTGCATTCGTGGGTGCAACGGCATGAGAAATATTTGACGTTTATTGCATAAGTAAGTGCCCGACAATGTGCGCGTCAAACCGCTAAAGCGCGGAGAGCGCGGAAATATTTAGTGGATGTACGGCTGTACACGACCGTTGCCATAAATTGCAGCATTATTGCCTTGACGGTTGGCCGAGTGACGTTCGTTGTGCGCCTTTCAAATTAGACTTCCGTAATCCAAACGACCTCGACGTAAATTCTTAAAGCATCGTTCGAGGTTATCGCGCAATGCACGCGTCATACAATATGACATTTGATTGATAAGCACAGCGACTAACGCTATTGTGACTAATATTTCACTCGAAAACTCGTATAATATATATAAGCATCGATAATATAATTTTGAACATTCCGACATTTTCCGCAAAACAATTAGAATTATAAATGAAAGATAAAAGAAGTGGTGATTAATATATTTTTACAAAATAACATCTTATAAATGCAGATTACAAAAGCAAAATAAATGTTGTGCCATAATATTAAAAATATTAATAATGTTGTAAAGATTAAAAATCTATATTCACAGATAAAATATTTAAACTTTCTTGCAAAGATGGCTCTTAGCATAATACTGTACATAAAAACATAAAACAATTTAATATAAAATTAAAATGCTAGCCTTTTAAAAATATTACTTACTTCTTGCTTGATTATTTTCAAAATTTATTTCTCAAAGCAAAACTTTATATTATTAAATACCGTTAATTTACTTTATTTAAGATAACTAGGTAATTTCTCTCTCGCGATTTCACTTATTTTATATATTCGAAAGCTTTCGAGAAATGCATAAATTTCGAGATTGTTTTAGGTCGGAATTTCCAGAGCGAATACTTTTGCATATTTTATAACTTCATTGCGTCATTTGACAAGTAAATAATAACAGATCAATGAATAATATCAGCAACCGAAGGTCTGCAAAATATTGAAATGTGTTACAACAGGGCATTATTCAATATAGCAATTAAAAATTCGTTCCGATTGATATTACGCGCGCTCACATATTTGATGTATTTCAATCCAAAATTACGTTACAAAGAGGAATTGATAACGAAATTGTTGCCAAGCCGATAAATGCAGCAGATGCGAGTAAATATTTAACCATACAATATTTTCACCGAGAGGAACCTTCTATGAGATGAAAGTTTCTGCAGGAATGGTCGTTATATTCTAGCGTTGCAAGCTTCTGAAACGAGTTTCAGAAGCGAAATTTGTTCGTTGAAAAGTAAAATAAAGCTTTGCAATTCAGCAACGAAAAGTTTTAAATCATACTTCAGTTCATAGAGTAATTTGATAGTTCTTCGTGTAATAATAATATTTATGGTTAATTATTTAAAATTATATGTAAAGATCAATGGCAATAAATTATAGCCGATATTTAGAATAACACGATAATAAGGAGCTGAGCAATGATTATTGAAAAAATAAGATATAAAGAAAATATAACAGAAAGACAGTATCAAATTTGAGAAGATTGGTAAAAAATGTGTCAATAAAGCATGTAATTGCAATACTACGATATCATACGACACAATCGTAATAAATGATTGAAACTGTTGAGTTATTGATTAAGAATCATCTCACACAAATGTAGCATAGAGATGCTTGAAGCACGTTAGGCGTAAATAACTGGCAGATATAAGCAAGTCCTGCGCGCGAAGTGTGTGCCTAGTTCTCGACCGAAATAACAATGCAGACGGCAGGATAGTATCGTTATTGCATAGCTAAGCAACCACCACTTGTTTGCCGGGGCGGAACAGCCCCGTTTGCAAACCGACAAAGAGGTATTGTTCTTTCGAGGGATCTCTCCAGCACACGCTTGGTTCCTACTATTTACACGGCCTAACTCAACATTATATCCCAAAGTTCGCGCGGTTCTCCACGAATGACGTATTTCAGGAAAGTCGTGCTTCGCGAGAGAGTCGTACCTCTAATACGATTTATCTAATCTATTTATCTTAAGACCTTGCACAACAAACGACGTTCGCCGACCCAATTATACCTGCGCGCTGCATTGTGCAGATAGTAGTTAATTTTTCGCTAGACACACGTAAGCCATTTGCGCCGATTGTAATCGAGAACATTACGGTGAAAATTACCAGAAACTGCCTATCTCTTAATTTCATTTAACGTTAATTTAAAAATTACTAAATTTACGCTGTTTTTCTCAAAATTATTTATGATAATGTATGCAAGCTATATTTGCAAGAAAATATAATTAAAATTTATAATTTATTTATCGCTAAAATACGTAATAAATAGTAGCAAAAAGTCGATCGATCGATCGAAAACTTTTATAATGTTAGCACATATAAATAATAAAAAATGCTAAAGAGTATCTAGATATGTCTGTTGTGTAGAAATGTTACTCAAATACAAATATCCTCGATCGTTTCTCGATATAAATTCTGAGTGAACTAAAAACGATGAAATTCAAGTATAAAAATTCGCGAATCCACTGTTACTTACAAGAACTTTTCACGGAGTGCCTTAACGTCTAGCGACTTCGGATAAGTTATTGTCCCAGCTGGATCTCAAGCAACAAATTTCTTGAAAGTGACAGTGTTTTATCTAGCGCGAAAACGAGACTCATCCACGAACCTCTTCAAAGTCGACAAACAAGGAATTTTTTGTAAGTTGTTTGCGAGAAATACAACGGTTCGAGAAGAGTTCAATGCCTCTAAAACAGTCTGTATAAATTTACCGATGTTGGCGGAATTCTTCTTCATTTCTTAAAAAAGATTTATTCACCTAAAACCATATAAAAATTGTGTAATGTAAATAGATTTTATTGTAGAATTAATCTCGTCACAATAGTCGGTGAAAAGTGCGATATTTGTTAGAACGACGATAAAATTACAATTACATGATCATACATTTATCTGGAATATTGCGCCCGTTATAATATTTCGTTTTATGTACCCATAATAGTGCGTTCATTTTTCCTCGCTGAGCAAAATTGCGCTCATCACGCCTCATTTAGTAAATGCGTCTCTGACCCGATTACAAATATTCCCACGATCGAATCTTTTCCACCAACATGCTGTTTAATACATTAAATACAAATACTCGTTATGCAACTCGCATTTACGAGTGAATATCGCATACGAATATCACATATTTGCACCCGTAAAAGTTATAAAAAAGTTATAACGTGAATGTTCGTGAGCATTCCAATGCGCGCCGGAAAAGATACTTCACCCGATAAAAATACAGTCGAAGGTACGGATGTGGAGTGTGAAGATGAAAAGTTACAAGAATGTTATTACCGCCATGAATTGCCAAAGGCAGGTTGCGTTTCCTAACCCGTCGGAAATGTTCCCTTATAGTTCACAGCTCGCGGCGTGTTTTTTGCTCTTCAAAACTGTTCCATTTTCGCGAAATGCGACACGAAATCTCATCGAAAGACACGAATATAATGCTATGCAAAACTGAATATATGAACACAGATTCGTATTTTGGAAAAATTGATAAGATATACTAAATTTGTATAATGGAAAACAACTCAATAATATAATAATATAACTTAAGTATTAGCGAGTAAATATTTTAAGGTGTGCGTATTATTGTTCTTAGAATCATATTATTTTATCTCATATAATAAATTTAATAATTTTATTGTACAATGCCAAACATGAGCAATATAATACTAAAATATTTTATAAAAAATTACTGTAAAAAACCTTTTAAAATATGTAAAATTTTTAATTATATTGTAATGATAAAAAACAATAAATTCTACTCTTTAAATAATTTAAGAGCTTTTTTAAAATTCTTTCTATTCTTTATTTTTTTAATCAAATTAATATTAAAAATTTTTATATTATTACAATCAGTTATTAAATGGTGATTAAACCATGTCACTCTATTAATATACGATTTCGCATGTTCCTATAAATTGCAATGAGTAATTAAACATATATCTCTACGTCACAATTTATACTTGCTAATTCATGTTCGGTAATTACGAGAGCAATAATTTACGATCAAATTTAATTATTATGTAACTGTTGTATAAGATTATATGTATACATAGCAATTATAAGCCATAAATTACTTTAATGTAGTATCATTCTCAATTGAGTGCCATTTTGAAGATGCAGATAACAATGAAATCGTGTAGAAACGGAAGATGACTGAGGTTTATCGATATAGTGGCAATTATGGATGCAACCATAATAGGAATACCACAGACTGAGCATTATAGTTTGCCGGATATATCGTTGCTATGTAGCAGGTGCGCTACGCCAACTCGATGACGATGTGTGCTCGTTATTAGCAAAATTGCATGAGCTAATTGACTAATTAGAGATTAACGATGGATGCCCGTTCTATCCGAAAGTATTGATGGATTACTGTTTTGGATCTGCTATCGACGGCGCAGTTATGACGCAGTTTATAGA